GGAAGACTCAGCCTGCTTGCAGAAGCATAGGGGAAGGTGTAGCATCCCCCAGTGGAAAGTGCTCCTCTGCTGTTCAGATACTGTGGAGCTTCTCATGGCACATGCTGGATATCAGGGCTACCTGCCCAAGTGATCCCACACACAAGCAAAACTCCAGAGATCCCGAGGTGTACAGGCAGGAGCCTCAGATCCTGTCCTTTGCTGAGATCCTGTTGTTTCAACAGCAAACACCCCATCAGGTCAGAGCAGGCACATTATGCTCAGACTGCACTGGTGGGATTGTCTGCTTTGTTACAGATGTGCATGGGGAAACAAAAGTGAGGACACCAATATGACCCTGTAAAAAGCAGCACACAATTTTTGCAATATATATATATAGGTAAAAATCATATACAGTTAGGTAATATAGAAAGCACATCACAGCATTTACCCTCTTATAACATACAAGGCCTTGGGTAAAACATCTTTACTACCCGATGCCTCAGAGGTGCTCACACTATTCTTGCACAGACTCTGTCCAAAACCAGAAAATCTGGCCACGCGCAGCCAGCCAGGCCTGCATGCTGCCTATACTTAATTACATGCCCTGTCCAGGTCCCAGCTGCAACCCACCACAGATGCTTCGCCATGCAGCCATTACTCTGCAAACAGCGAGAGACATTTCCAAACATGAGATGGATTTCAAACTTTCACGAGGTGGTGTGGAGGGTGTTCAGTCCCAACTTTATGCACTAGCCACCACCAGGCACGAGCAGCTACCACTGCCACCATGCTGCAGGCAGCAGACGAACACCCGTTGTTTGCCAATTGCTCCTAAAAGGGTAGGCACAAGCCACGTGCATGTGGAATGAGAAAAATCGCGCCTGCCCCCTGTGCCCCCACAAGCAGTAACTCACCTGCCCTGGCCTCTCACTAGCACAGCCGTCTCCTCCTCACCGCGGTTCTTCTTGTCCTTCACAAAAACTTCATCCTGCCTGCTGTCACCAAGCGTTGCTCGAGGAACAGCTCCAAGGACAGCGGGTCCTGGCCGCGGGTCCTCACAGACCTCGCTCCAAGCGCTGTCTGGTGAGGAGACCACGCCTGGGGAGACCATCAGTGGCACAGGGTGGATGGAGGTTTTGGGGAAAGCCTTCCTCTCCACGGACACCGTCTCCAGCAGTGAGTGCTTCTTCCTTCTCTGCTCCTCAGTTTTTTGCAGCCATAAAATCTCCACCCCTTGAAATTCTACATGTTTGCTCACAGCTGCCTCTTTAGAGAGCCTCCTCTCAGGACCCATTTGCATTTTGCCTTGACTGTATGCTGAAAACTCCTCAAAATGCGCCCACCCTTCCACTCTGCTGGCTGCTTCCAGGTTTGTCACAGATGGTCTATGACAGCTTGTCTCCTGCGCTGCATGGACCTCCTCGGTTTTATTACTGATGGCTTGCAAGGACTCGGATTGCTTTTCTCCAGTCCATATTGCAGCCAGATCTTTCTCTACAATCAAATGCATTTTTTCCTCAGCTGTTCTTTCAGATGGAGGAGGCATGTCTGAGGGTTTTTCTTGGCCTGCTGGAACTGGTTCTCTGGCCGCCTGCACATTCTGGCTGCCAGTAACGCTCTGTTTTTCCATTTGCATCTCCAAATCAAGGGAAGTATTTGCTCTCTCTTGCACCTTTGTTGCTTCCAGCCATTGAGAGATTTTCATCATCTCTGGCAGGTTACCTGCAGGTTGCAAACCTCCTTCTGAGGCACACAGCTGTGCTGCCCCGGCATCAGGTCTGGAATCCTCTGCAGGAGCCACACACTGTGGAAGGGGCCTGCCAGGTACCTGGTGGTGACCGTCCTGGCTTTCTGGGCTGCGTGTTACAGGCTCTGCCCTCAGCCCGTCTCTGCTTGCCTCTACACTGCCATACTCTGGAAATTCATTGATGATGGTATGAGGGAGCAAAGTGCTGCTTCCGCGGCCACTACCTGCAAGGGAAAAAGAGAGCATGGGTTTACCTATCTACAAACAAATAAAGCACAAGCAAAAGGCCTGGCCTTCCTCCCAAGCCTTCTCTGAACACAGTAACTATGCTCTCCCCTGCAGGGAAAATACCGTTCCGTTTAACTCATTTCTGCATGCTCTCACAGTGCACTTATCCAGAGCTGGTCCTTTTACATAGGAGTTTTTGGGCAGCCCTACTTTGGGAGTGTGCGCCGCTGAAGAAGGAATGCCAGAAATGTCTGCTACACTTCAGAAAGGGTCCCAGTGGCCCATGAACAGTCTGAGGCCACAGGCCAGGCGCAAGGGCTGAAGAAAGCAGATATTCAGCAGTCTGACATCCATCCACAGCACGTGTTATGCATGCTGGTTTTATTAAATGAAAAAAAAAAAAGGGTTTAGGTCATTTTCACTTGTAAAGATGACACATCAGGAAGATAACCAGCCACACCCCTTATATCCCACAGCCTTGACAAAACTAATTAGCTAAATTACAAAGCAATTAATGAGCAATTCAACTTTCTGCCTGCACTACCCTCTTCCTTTAACAACTCAGGTAACTGAAGGCCATGTGGCAGTGAGGTACACTTACTGTGTAGTTCACGTTTTCTGTTGCAGCAAACCCACCACTGCATAAGAAACCTGCTACCCCTCCCCTTCTCATGCTTCTTTTCCAACCGATGTAAACAAAGCAGAAGGAAAAATGGATGGGCCATTTTCCAAGTGCCGAGCACCCAGTGGCTCCCATTGTTGTGGGGTAACAGAGAACCAGCTGTCCTCAGAGGGATCTCACCCATGACACAATGACAGACACTTGGCCACCTTCTGTTATGGCCCAAGGAGGAACTGGGGTCTTGAAGACACAACAACAAACAAACAAAACAAGAAGTGCTGCATTTGCTGCACCCTCCTGGAAGAAACTGGCCTGGAGTATAAAAGTGTTTTAGAACAAACAGCAGAGGGGGCAGATCAAACACCTGTATGAAAAATGTCAGGGGTGACAGCTCGGAAACCAGATATGAGCTTGAATTTGGGCGCTTTGCCCCAGTCGAAGTGCATCCCTAGGTGCTGTACTGAAAAACAATCGCTGTCTCCGCTCTGAGCAGGCTGGCCATAAGCCATCTCTGAGGAGGAAGCCATGTAGTTGTTGTTAATGAAGGCTGAGTTCAAGGTGAGAGGAAGGATAATTTAACACAAGCTCAGCACCACACTAATGTGGCCATCTATCTGCCAGTGGTTTGTAAAGACAAGTGACAACTCACACCAGTCAGATCACTATCCAGTATATCTAGCCACAGGATAAATACCCCACATGGTGTGTGGTGCAGGATCAAACTGACAGGCTTGGACCATGCCAAACCACAGCCTCTTCCCCAGTAGGTTCTCCAGCTATCTCCATGCTGCTGATTTCATCACTCCATAATAAAACTTCAGCGGGTCAGGTTTCACCTAGATGATTTAGTTTCTGTTGGGGACAGTGACTGGACAAAACAGGGATCTCTTCTCTGCTGCAAGGTCCCAGTAAGCTGTGAGGAGCATAGATGCCTTGTCCACTTCTGCACCACCAACCTGCCTTCATGGCATGGTTTCCAACACACAAGTATGGGTCCACTGGGAGAGGCTGAAGAAGAGAGCAAGGCCTCTCTACCTATATGAGTGTTTCCAGGCACAGTATTTTTTCTAAGTGTCCAAAGCCCCAGACAAACAGCCCTCTTAGCACACAATTCAGCCACTCAGTGCTTGAGTGCATCCCAAGCCAACTCACTTCACGGCACAGGAAGCAGGTTGCCTGTGAAGTGGGGGACGCTTCCACCAGGACAGACTCACGGATAAGAATGATGTTGTGTGGCTGCAACAACCCTACACTTGCACCAGGACCAGCCCAAGCCAGCAGAGAGCCCCATCTCCCTACTCTGTCACTATAGAAGTCAACAGGAACCCTTCTTGATGGACAGAGCCCCACCTACTGTAACTCTCAGCTTGCAGACCTGCAAGCAGGATGTGCTCCAGTTGGGATCGCTGCATGCCCCCAAGCAGGGCAGCATTTGGCCATGCTGCTGCCTGGGCTAAATGCTCTGGCCATATCCCAGAGGAAAGCAACACATACTGCCCCTGGAGCTGAGACCCCCGCGCCTCCTTCCAACCCACACACCCCTCCTCACTGGAAAGAAGCCCAGAGCGTAGCTCCCCGGCCCCCATGGGCTGGGATGCAGCCAATGTGCACTGGAGGCCAAGCCCTGACAAGGCACCACACACAAACCCTGCCAAGGAGCCAAAATCATCTCTGCTAATTGCTACCTTAGCTTCTGAATAACATGAAGGAAACAGAGGTGGCCTTATTTCTGGTGGTAAACGCTAAACACACTGCTGTCCATCCCCCTCCGCCACCAACAGCTGCTGATGATGACGGTAAGCAATATCTAGCAAGTTTCTGACATGCTTCTCCTGAACTTCATCCCAAGCAAACTTTACCCTCTTGCAAGCCCAGCAGACTCCAGAAAAGGTACACATGCAGAGCACACAGGTACATATACGGGTGAAGACATACATGTGCAGAGCACACAGGTGCATTTACAGGCACAGAGAGACACGCAGGAGGAGGAAGCACGAACACAGGTAGTCCTTTGCCACACTTGCAAGCTGCTTTTCATCTGAGCAAGAGAGAAGCATTTTCACAGTAGAAAGCCAAGGCCTGTTCTACAGCAAGGCACCGGCAGCCCTACTCTGGAATTGCTGCTGCTGCCACTGCATGCAAGCACAAGGCAGAGGGATTCTTGCCTTCACAGCATCTTGCAGGAACATTGCCTAACTCACTACCTGATTAAAAATAAATCACACATGGCACCAAAGTCTGCCCCCACTACACTAGGTACAACCATGCACACAACTGCTGAGGTCTCCACTCCCTGCAGTAAACCACCACCAATTGCTCTCCACTCCTGAACAGTGCAACGCCTTTCCCTTTTCTCAGAGCGCTATTTCAAGTACCAGAGCTCAGAGATGCTGGAGCTCTTTAAGAGAAACTCCTCCCTTATTCCCATCCACCACCACAGCATCATGTCTTGCTGCAGCTACTGGCATATCCTGTCCAACCCCATCCCCCAATATGACTGCATTACAAACAAGGCTAGAAAGGCAACAACTAAATTTAAGGACCGCACTGAAGATGAGCAGGGAAAAAAAAATACCCATCACCAAACAAACAAAGAAAGGACACACACTCTCAGGTAACACCAATTTCTACTTTGCATTGAAGGTGGATTCTTTCAACAAAGAAAAAGAAAAAAGAAAAAGAAAAAAAAAGAAAGAAAAGGAAAATTAAATGTAGAGAGAAAAAGCTAAAATAGAAATGGGGTGAGTGGCTAAAAAACTGAGACCGGGCAAATATAACCTAACAGCAATTGGCAGTCTTTCTGATGACTAGACGTTGAAAGAATTCATGACTTAAATCAGGCATAGATATGATATGTCATAGGTAAATAACCATTTCATGTCAAACAAGCTTGTCTACAGCATAATAAAAGGAAATTCTAGGAAGCAAAACACAAGTTAGAAGCATAGACAGACATTTTGTTTACAGGTACATTTTACAAAAGAATGGTGTGAGTGTCTCTCTCTATACAGTATATATATATATATATATTAGCTAGCTCGAGAAATTAGAGATATTTGCTTGAACAGTCTCCTTACTCACAGAGGTTACTGTAGCTCCAGCAGTTACCCATTGGTCAAAGAAATAAAATGCACAGATCATCAGTTTATCTATAGCAATACCAGCTAATTCAATTGCTGCTGTTCTAGTCAACTGGAATCAAAATAGTTTCAAATTTCCTGGCAGCTGCTGCCCTGCACTGCACACAATGATGTAAATGGATGCTTTCTGAGTATTATGAAACTGATGGGGGAACTGCAGTCTCATTCAGTCTATCGCAGGAGCTATAAGGAGTCCACCTTGGCAGCTTGCAGGGGGAAAAAAAACTTCCTCCAGCAAGGCTGCCTGACAGTATGCCAGGAAGACGTCTGTGCTTAGCTGCCGTTTATTGTAACTGCGTCCGTAAGCGATGAAACGGGTAGAATGGCGATGCCGAGGGTCGCGTGCTGGTGTCGGAGAGCGGGGTTTCGGCATTACGGAGCTGAGAGGTTTCACTGAGCAGACCCATCATCTTGCATTTTATTTCTCCGCAGCTCCTTGCGCCGACCACAAGCAGCACACGGGTGAGCCTGCATGCAGCGTCACACCAGTTATGCTTTCGTGGTACCGGCACTTCTTGCCGTTATTTGTAACAGGCAAATTAGGGCAAGTAAAAACACTTGCGTGCATTAAGGGGAAACGAGTCTCTAGGTGACAGAGATTAACAATCAAATCGCAGGGATTATGGCAGTATGTCATTATTGCAGCCTGACAGAGAGGGGGGTCACACATGCCTCCTCGTCCCGCACCCCCTCAAGTTACAACTCCTGTAGTAACTAAAACCATCCCGATTTATAACGCAGTACAACATGGAGCGGCCTCCCCCTGTGAGAGGGGAGGGATGCTGCACAATCACTGGCAGCCTAGCACAGCAGCCCTTTCTCCAAATGATGTCATTCTCCGTGCCGTGATAGGTCCTGCCTGGCCAGCGGAGGTCCTTCGTTAGCCAAAGACGGGGGATTAGCATAATGCAAGCACCGTGCTTTTGTAACTGGACTGCAAACATCCACGCTGGACTGGGTGCAGGGTTTTCTGCAACCTGCAGCCACTCTAGGCTTTCGGGCAGTTTGCCTGCCCAGGGAAGTGGAGCCAGGCCATCATCCATTCAAAGTTACACTGGCATTATGTAAAAACACCAAGTTGGTGGAAACAGGGAAGCTGAGTGAAGGTGGGCGGGGGGGGGGGAAAGCAGAGGGGAGAGCTGCCTGGAAAAGAGTCCCTGGTTAAATGCTCTGTTGCCTTACTAAACAGGCAGGGAGAGTGGAGAGTACCAGAGATATGGCACAGCTTACACAGAAAACGTGACCGTGTTGGCTGAGATCCTTCACTCCAAAAAGAGATGACCTGCGGGGGTCCCTGCAGCCAACACTGGGGAGTGTGACACAGACCAAGCAATGCGCACAGGCAGCGTGTGCCTTGCACTTACTGTGCTTGAACAGCCAGGCAGTGGTGCAGCAGCCAGGGGCTGCCAGGGTTACCCAGAAATTAAACTGAACGGCTCAGGGAAGAAAATAATCCCACCGCAAGCACGCGGGGGCAGTGTGTGATCCAGGAAACCCCGCATCCACGGCTTGCTGCACACTGAAAGGGGTTATAAGAGAACTACTGCTTGCCATTGCTCTTGCATAGTTTATAAATTCTGGGATTCTATGGGCAAGCAGGGGCTGTGTTAGTGAATCTTCAGCCTGCCACAGAACATTCGTGCTCACACTGAGTAAACTTCTCACAGACTCTGCTAGTCAAGCCCCAGTGCTTCGGGTCAGGTGGTGATGTGATGCCCGAGTTGTCACAGCTTGAAATACATAGAGTGAAAACAGCTGCTAGGTTAAGAATGTAAACCCTATCCATTACGAAAGCAATGAGCAAAACAGCATGTATAATACCCGGATCACTGTGTATCGGGGTGGGGGGAGGGCTCCAATTGCAAACCACTTAACCCTGTTCCTGATGGAAAAGCCTTAAGTAAGCAATGCTGTGACTTGGTTGCATATTTTTTCCCCCAAAGATTTTAACTATTTCCCAGTGGTAAACAGGGTTTGGGGGCACAACCTCACTGAACTAAGAGCCCACCAAGGAGCTCTGCACCATTCCCCCAGCTGTGGGAAGGATGGCACCTTGCCACACCAGCTCACAGGCCTACAGTGAGCTCAGAAAAGGACAAGGTCCAAAACTAATAGGCAGCACGTGCTGGGAGGGTTTAGTGTGAGGGATTATCCACTACAAATTGCTCTATGGGCCACAGATGGTCAGTGAGATAGCTCCGTCCCAAGAGTCATTACCCTGGAAAGCAGAAGGGTAGTGAAACAGCTGCTAGTATGAGGAGGAACAGGAGGGAATACAAAGAGAGCAGTAGCTGGTCACCTTATCCTGATGTAAAAGTGTGGGTGAGCCGTAACTATATTTAATGCACTTTTCTTCTTTAAAGGCCCACCCCCACATGGCTGCAAGAATTTCAAGTTTTGGTTTAAGATGTATGTTTGGAAAAGTCTTAAGCCCAAAGTTCAAAAGAATCCAAAAATTTCTATTTTTTTAGAAAGGAAGCGGCTAACATGTGATTTCCTAAATGCATATACACAGCATGATAGCAAGAATTACTTTAAGGGCTCCCAAAGAACCTTCAGCCAAAGTGCAAACTTCTGGCGCAGTGACGCAGCCCACAGCTGCTCTGGCACTTGCAGCTTCTATAAAGACTTTACAGCCCCTCAGAATCCACTTGTACTTAATGTTATATATTTAAAATATTGTATTTTTAAAGAATCTTTTTTAAAAGCTCAAAAGTAATTCAAATAGAAAGATCTCATCAGATGAAAAATGTATAGTCAGACTCTGAGCAAGCAACAACAGCTTAAAAAACCCCACAGTACTACTCACACATCTCAGACACCCTGGATCTTCGCAGCAGCCTCTGAAGAAACCAGGCACATCCACAGAAAAGGATGGCCTTTACTGCATTTCGGGGTTCTGGAACTATTAGCTGGGGTACGACAAAGCTTGCTAAGCAGTCCTCAAAAGCACCCCCGGAGATGGATACCATGTTATGCACCCAGCTAAAACAAAAATAGGGCACAGAAGGGCATCTGCATCTCCCAGTGTCTGAGTATTTGCTGCTAAAGGCGCGGCTGGACATTGCATGGTAACTTCTCAGCAAGTTCACACAGTGAATGAGATTCCCTTCCTCAGGAAGCTGGACAGAGTTAAATAAACAATGCAGGGGTCTAGAGCAGAAGGCACTTGTTAAAGCGGTGAACTGTGAACAGGAAGAATACCTGCTGTACCCTGCATTACCAGGCCAGAAATGCATCTACCCATATAATTTTAATTAAACGCCTTCTCCCTCTTCATTATCAAGCCATCTCCAGCAGCAGGATAACATGCATCTATTATTTCATAAAGCTGCAGAGATGAATTGAGGCTGCAGCATGATGAAGGGCTTGTGTTGGTGTCCTGCCTGTCTCACCAAGTGATGGGGCTGAAGCCAAGGAGACGAGAGGAGCTCTCAGTGACAACACACAGAAATGCAGCTCTGACCTACAGCCAGCCAAGTCAGCTGTCCTCCTGTTGTGCCTGCTGACCTGGGTGCTTCATTCTGTCTACCCAACTGAACGGAAGGGCCTTCTTGACACTGGGGAAGTGTTTCTGAGCCCTGCCAGCTTCAGGTGAACTCAGCCTGTCCCATGTGTGCTCACAGCATCTGAAGCAGCCAGACATCACCGACATGGCTCCAGCATCACCAGGCCCCCAGATATTTGTGCCCTTATGTCAGCAAGACTCTTGATTCAGCTGGCAGCACACAGATGGGGAGGTAATTACTGCCTTAACTCTGGCGTTTCCCAACTTCTGCGTGCTGGATTCTGCACCTTTAAAAAACAATAAACAAACATCCCTTGTTTTAACGATTATTTGTACTAAACTCTTGGCCTTCAAACAGCTCTGTTGTTTACCAAGTCAAGGATGTGGTAATCTCCTCCCTGCAGCTGTAGGTTACAACAACTTGAACTATCCAGCTTTCAAGTGAAGGTCACAAGACATCCAATTTCCTCCTGCAGAGCAAGGGACTTAGCATAATGCTTCACACCCCTTCAGTTTTTCTTTGCTTGGAACTGGAAACACAAGCACCCATCACACCACACCTGGTGGCTCCCGAGCATGCTCCAGCTTCACCCAACCCTGGGAAGCAGGACTCAAAAATTCAAAGGAAGAGACAGCAAGACACCCCGACTTCACGCAAGTCAAGACGCAGGACACACTGCAACCTGTCCCCCTTCACCAGCATCAGTTTTTCCATGTGCACAGTCAGATGCGCTCTTCTGACAGCACTGTAAGAGCTTGCTGCTACTCAGAGCATCCAAGTGCTAGTTCAAAATGACCTAGCTTACTCTGTGTTGGAGTGAAAGAGGAGCTCCCAGCAAGGCCGGTCTACGTGCTGGTGCTGGAGAGTTGCACAAACTCAACTAGAAAAGTACCTTTTAATACAGTACCTCTGGAGTCTTAAATTCTACAAGTAAATCTTCTCATTACATCACTGCCAACGAGCAACACCAAACATCAGTGTATCTATGAGAAAATGTATTTATTACACACTACTATTTAAAAACTCCCATGGGTCTTCAGCATAACAGAAAATGCAGAGGGACACTACAAATAACAACAGAAAAAAGCTAACAGAATCAAGTATGCAAATGAGAACGATGGAATTTTATTAAGTGTGTGGGGGCACCACACATCTGAGCTTTCCGGATTGCAGCACTGCATGTTTCCCTGGTAAATCACAGAATCACCGAATGGTTTGGGTCAGATGCAACCTTAAACTTATCTGCTTCCAAACCCTCTGCCACATGCAGAGACACCTTCCATTAGACCAGGCTGCTGAAAGCTGAGTTCAGCCTGGCCTTGAACACTGCCCAGGGATGGGGAACCCAGAGCTTCTCTGGACAACTTGCACCAGTGCCTCACTACCCTCACAGTGAAGAACTTCCTTATATCTAGTCTAAATCGACTCTCAGTTAAAAGCCATTCCCCCTTGTCCTGTCACTAGAAGCCCCTGTAAAAAGGCCCTGTCCAGCTTTCTTGTAGGACTCTTTAGGTACTGGAAGGTTGCTATAAGGTCTCCCCAGAGCACTCTCTTCTCCAGGCTGAATAAGTCCAGTCATCCCAGCTGTTCCTCATAGGAGAGGTGCTCCATCTCTCTGATCATCTTTTTGGCCTCCTCTGGACCTGGCCCAACATCTTTCCTGTGCAGAGGACACCAGAACTGCACACAGTGCTCCAGGTGGGGTCTCACCAGAGCCGAGGGGCAGAATCACCTCCCTCGGCCTGCTGGTCACGCTCCTTTGATGTTGCAGGACATACTCTTGAACACGTATCTGATGTACCTGTCCTCACAGGTTCTGTCCATTGTAACCAAGCAACATGAATGTGAAAATCAGGCAGTCTTAAGCCCTAGATAATGCAGTTTTCTGAACCTCTTCAGGAAGCAGAGCTGCAGAGGAAGATACGAGACTGGGAACCTGGACTTTCAGGATTGCCTGGAGATGGAAAGATCAAGAGATGAAAACAACAAAGGGTGGAGCAGTGAAATGGAAAGTGATGCAGTTGAACCACTGAGCAAGACTACAGTTAGCAGTCTGGGCTAGTGTGAGAATGATGCAACATGTGAGTGAATGTGGTCTAAGGGCAGTTTACAGTGAGGATCAGGAAGGTACCACCTCCATGCAATGCAAAAAGGATGCAGCAGGGCTGGACACAAGTAAAGTGACACAGAGAAGGCAGACAGAAAAGCAAAGGACAATGTAGTAAGTAAGTGATACTCATTTTACAGAAAGTTGCTGGGGTAATTTTCTTAAGGCTGTTTAAATCAGCCACAAAAAAGGCTTTGCTTGCACAAAAAAAAAAAGAAGAGAAAAGAAAAAAAACCCAGCCATTCTGTGCTTCCTTTGCTCCTGAAACACATTAAAGAAGCTACAGCAACAGCAATCGTTTCCATGATTCAGATGGTATGCTGCATGGGTTAAAGTATGAATTTCATTTTCTTTCATGTGCCAGCTCTGGAACTGTGTGAATCCTTGCAGAGGGGATTCAGAAGACACTGCCAGGAGAAAGTAAACCTTTTTCCATTGAACTGGGGCTTTTTGGCATTGTCTGGGGGGTTGCCATGACTCAGTCTTTCTGGCTTGAGCTTACTAAGTAGGTGGATGAGCACAAGAACTAGCATGAGACAATCCACAGCAGAGTGTGGTTGGGACTGTCTCTTTTGGCAGAAGCAAGCTGTTAAATGAGCTCAGCTGCCTCATGACACCTCACTGTACACAAAACAGCAAGTGGCAAGCTTTCCAAAAAGCTATTTGTTTCACCATGAACTCAAAATCAAGCTTCTTCCAGCAGCTGTTGAAAAAGACCAGATTTGCGTAGCAACCCAGAGACTATTTGTACAGGGCGTTTTTGTGAAGGATGAGATTAACCCCCCTGTTACACATGACAGGAGAAACCTTTATTCCCCTAGAAGTATCAGAGGAAAGACTGTTCCTGAGTCTTAAGAAGCTATTTTCTTCCTAACAACTGTCTTGGATTTATTTTCTTATATAACAGGAATTACGGGGTCCCTGGCTTTCATGTTTATTTAAGTAAGCATTTTGTAGTATCCCCCTATGATTTCCCCCCAAGGAAGCAGTTCTTAGGACCAAGTCATGTCGTCAGGACTTTTTTCTTCTTGGCATTTAAATACATTAACTCCAAAGTCACAAAAAATCAGCACTCTGTGGCAAGCCCAAGCCCAAGCCCAAAGATAAGACTGCTCAATAGAGACCACTGTTTCCACAGCCGGCTCCAGAGGAGGGTATGTTTCCATACACAACAAACGCCCTTTATGCGAAGGAGGCTGAGAAGACTCCTTGTCCGAGCCAGCCAAATTCAGTTTTTAAAAAACATTTTCTTTTGCTGGAAGGCAGAAGGCTGGGGTTTCGCCAAGGAAGGCGCACAGGCAGCGCCAGGCGCGTGGCGGCACGTGGAGCATCCTCCCCGCTCCCATGGCAGCAGGGAGCAGCTCCAAGAGCAGGGGTCTCAGCGGAGTGATGTATGGCCCACAGCCCTCTCACAATGAGGTGAGGGTCCCCAGGGCCTGGACCTGCTTCTGCTCCAGGGCAGGAGAACGGGCAACAGGTGGGAGAGAAGAGCCAACAAAAGGCATCAGGCAGCAAAGACAAGTGCACAGCAGTACAACAGGGATGAAAAATCCCAGGTAAAACCAGGCTGAGGGCAGTGAAGGAGGGAAATGAGGAAGAGTTGGTTTTCATGTGGCAGCTTTATTAGCATTTGAATAGCATCAATGAAACACCTCTTCTACAGGCATCTAGCTTTTTTTTCTCCTCCTCTCACCTGTGAAAATAACCACAAGGTTCAACCTGGAAGGTAAAAATCAGCAAGGCAGCTTATTAACAAAGTCTGCCATGTCCCATCTAGGCAAACAGGAATGTTTGCTACAGTCGCCCCCAATTATTCTTTCTTCTTTGGCTTGTCCTATGCAAATATTTTAGTACCAAATTAAAATATTTATACTCTCAACATCATCCAGCAGAGCATCAGTAATATGGCTGTGGCTGAAAGGGAAAGGATAAACTGGGAGGCAGAATTAATTAGGCCGTTCAGCCGCTTACATGTTACACTCTCAATTTCTGAAGACAGCCAAGGCATGGGTGAACTGCTTTGGATGAGATAAATTAAAGTTCAGCTTTACTGCCCACAGTGACAAACTGTGCTTTTGATCAAGTTTAAACAGCAGTACTTCTCCTGCCTCTGCCCCCATCGTTCATTTACTTTAAATCTTTCATACTTTGACCCACAAAAAGCACATCTTCCTTCTTGTAAAGGCAACTCTAGAAAGTGGCAGGTCTATTTGGATTTTTGGTAGTGCTTTTTCACTTCCCATCCAACACAGTGAAGAACAGAGAGACTTTCAGGCACAGCTGCTTCCCCCCTAAACGTCTGCCATGAGATATTTGACATATGTCAAATCAAAAGAAGCCAAGATTTGGTTACAGAGCCCTTGGCTTGTGTTACTGTGCCCTCAGTTGCCCCATCCTGGTTAATCTTCAGTTAATAAGTGGTTAAAAACTGCTGACTTGATGAAAACACATAGAAGGGGTAGCACCACTCTCATTTATCTATTGCAGTCAAAAATCTTCCTGGAGGAGGAGGAAAAGGAGGACTAGGAGGAGGACACGTTTGTCTGTGACAGCATGAAGCACAGACACGTTTGTCTGTGACGGCATGAATGTCACCCAGTTTTCAGGTACAATTCACAAACGTTATATGTTAACCACTGTTAAATATTTGGAAACTTGCCCTTGAAGTCACTCTCATTTCACTAATGTTAGCCCGTACTGGTAGTTTCTGATTAATAAAGGAACAGAAAGAGATTCCAGATATAAGGCAAGACGCAGCACAGGAAAAATACAGAAAAGCACACACACAGGTCATGATATCTGGCTTTTTCTTTGCCACCATTTATTTTAGGGCTCAGTACTCAGTCAGTTCAGAATACCCATCACATCTGATAATTGTTTTGGTTAGTAATAACAACAGATTCACTTGGATTTACTAGACACAGCATACCTTATTTGATGCCACACTCCGGAAATGTACTAATGCCTGCTGACAGTGCTCCCGCACTGTCTTTCCAAACAAGAAGTGAGGTCATCATGATTCATGTAATAATTTGATGCACATTTTGTGGCAATTTAGGAAAGTCTAAAAATTCATAAAGGAGGACATTTTGTTTGGGTTTTTTCCCCTTCAGTCTGCAATTAGGATTTCCAAAGTGGAATACCAAACTTTAGAAAACCCAAGGAGAAACTGTTTATTCACTTTCCAGATACAAGTTCTGCTTTTTTTGGTTCTTGGGGGTTTTTCTTTCCTTTCCTTACCGAAGTGGAGGAGCCTACACATTTTGTTTCTGTACAAAGTGCTGCCTTTCTCCAGCAAGAAAGGAGTCTTCTTTAATTAAATGTGACATTCCAGAAAGTTTGCAATTAGAAAGGATCGAGGTGCAATGAGAACAGCCTGAGGAAACACTTTTGCAAAGAGGGCAGGGACTGTTGATAATTATAATGAGGCAAGAGAAATAAGGTTTTTTATTAGCTACATTTCTTTTCTTCTAAGCTTGGGCTATGAAAAGGTAGAAAATGTCCTGTATTTACAAGAAAAGAACAAGAAACAAGACTGATCCTTAGGCAATAACATTAGATACTGCACCTGGATTTCTTGAATTGCGAACTACAAAGGACAGAGCAGTTCAGGTACAACCTCAAGTACCTAAATTAAACTCATCTACCTCTGGCTGTAGGAAGAGCAGCATACAGACCACAAAGGGCATTCCTGGAAGGACCTCCACATAGAGATGGCGCCATTTCAGCCTGTGCAAACGCAGAACATGTGGCTGAAACAACTCTGCTGCAGAGACGAGCTGGGACTCCCTGCACCGTGTCTCCAGCACAAGTCCCCACTGTCACATCAAGGTGGCCAGGTGAGCCAAAGAGAAAGGTGGGAGTGTAAGACAGGGAACTGTTGTGACTTTATGCGGCCAAACTTGTAGGCTCCTTTGGTCTGGTACTTACACCGTGGCATGCGCGAAGGGCAGCATAGCACAGAGAGCAAGCCCTCATGGGGTCATTGAGGAGCAGCTTCTGTAAAACTTTCTTGCCTGGCTTAAAAGAGGTTTGGGGACTTTTTTCACACAAAAGAAATAAATAGCACTTACCCACTTCTGAAGGCTTCTCGTCTTCCAAGCCAAACAAAAATTCATATTTGGCCTTAGCAACAGTCTGGGCGTGAGCTGATACATCATTATCCCACACAAGTGCTTCTGCCTGTGGAGTCAAAATAAACAAAGCTTATCTACCTTTTAGTAAAAAAACAGCAGCGGAAACACAAAATCCCTTCAGGTGGGCTGTCAGGTAGGAATCGATGCGTTCATTTAACTCTGTCACCACCAAGATGCACAGAGCACACATGGGCCAACTCAAGAATGCTTTCAAAGAGATCACATCTCTGTCTTCAAACCCAAGCATCTCAATAGTAAGCAGCGATGTCAGAGCACTCCTCTCCTCACATCTTTAACAGGCTTACCTGCTGCAAGGCCAGCAGCACATGTCAACCATCTCAGTAATACCAGTTAGGGTTAAAAATGCCTAGGGAATAGTATCAGTAATAGCAAATTTGAGCATGTATGTTGCAAAACTGGCACCCATGGGAAAACCATAAATGGGGCAGGCTGTTTCTTGAGGAGGAGGCTGGGACAGAGAAAGGGAAGTGCAAGGGCTATAACAAGGCTGATCAAAAACGGAGAAAAGGATAATAAGGTATGCAAATGTGTGGCAAGTGTTGTCTGTGGGTCCCTGCTGGGCAGCTCACACATAACCACCACCATCTAGATCAGGACAATGGCTCAACCTGTTCTTATGCCCATACCACACAAGTCAAGCCTGATTCCATGACCATGAGGTGGGAAGGTGGCACAGGGTGGTCTCCCAGGCTAGCAGGGGAGTATCTGGGGGGAGAGATGGACAGATGAATCCAGTGCCACCCAGGACCAGTGCCACCCAGGACCAGTGCCACCAGCACCCTCCCACTGCTTCCTACTCATAATAAGCAGTTTGACACAGTAAAGGTCCAGTTTCTCAAAGGAGAGAAAGGCTGCAGGACTAAGGTTGAAATTAGTTTTCTGAACAGCAGGGGACAGATCCAATCTCCAAGATAAAGCACGCACGAGCAATAAACTGTAGTGCAGAAACTGTCTGCAGTCAGCATTAAGTTTCCTCCCAGCTGGGCAAGACGGAGCCCGTAATTCTTCTGTCTGAAGTGACAGATGAAATAAGTCATTAACTCTATAAATTCTTCAGTGACCTTTATATTCATGCCCTATGTCTGAGGCAGCCAATTGCTACAGCACAGCAAGTCACTGCATGGCTCACATTGGTGAAGGCTTTAGCTTACAAAAATACTCTAAGCCAGAGAAGCCAGATAGAACATTCTGCCCCCCAGGACAATAATAATGTTTATGCACGTCCACCAAATACCTTAGGGTAAGCGTCAGCTTCAAACTGAAATTCAAAGTACAGGAGACGCATAATTCACAGGAACACACAGTTAAGGCTCTTTAATCAGAGATGTATGGAATCACAATCTACACATTCTTCCAAGGCTAGCCTTCCAACAACTGCACTTTCTCTCATGAGCATATTGACAAACAAGTATCTTGCCTCATGCCATGTAACTGTTTTGCTCCAGGTTTTCCAGGACTTTTACCTCCATTTCTTCTCCCACCTTTCTGCACTGTGCTAGTTCTGCAGGATTTAGTCCATCACACCTCTGCAAAAGGTGAGCAGTAGATCGTGTGCATGGGTCTTGGATATATTCACTCACCACTCACTGGCCCAACTCTTCATCACTGGGGCTGCAGTGGGCACTTTGATGGACCTAACTTTTGGGAGGCTAACACTAGTCTACCAAATACTTTGGGGGAAAAAAGTGATGAAACAGGTGAAGGGCTTTCTAGCACAAAAATGACTACCACAAGCATGATAAAACAAGCTTAGAAGAAGCCCCTATGTCTCCCCTGCTTTTACAAGGTTGCATTCATTCACAGAAAGGGGGGCAGGAAGGAACAGAAAAGGAACAGCTGGACCAAGCACACAAGAGGAGGCTCTCAGTCTGCAGTAGCGTGGACACAAGTAGCTTACAGATCCAGACAAAAAAAGTCAGCCTACCCAGATGAATGTGAAGGTATGGGATAGCTGAACAACTAGCTGGTGCCAAATCCCACTCACAGGTGCGTAAAATGGAAAATAAAATGGACATAGCAGTCCAGTTCCTGAGCAGTCAGGAATTTCTCATCTACACACCTCTGGGATGCAGCATCTCCATCCCTCAGCCCTGCTCTTCAAGACTTCACAGACATACGCTGCACATAGCTTCCCTGCCAGCAAACACACTTTCCAGAGGTCTGTATTTATCTGTACCTTACTGTGAAGCAATGAAGAAGAGTCTGGTTCACAGCACCCTAAGCATCATTCAGTAACAGGCATAATTATTGGTTAGATTAATGGTTTTCCAGGGTACAGAGCAGTGTTTACCAGAGTTACATGACCAAGTGTAGACTTCATCTGAAAGGGGTAACTTGATTTTCAGAAGTACTGAGCACCACTGCTGAGATTTGCAGATACTGGCTTGTGCATGGGAACAGCTGAACCTAACATCTATTTAGGTTTATCTAAAGGTAAAACAGTTCAGAGCCTCCAGATCCATGCTTAAAGGATATGTTTATGGTATTTCATCCAAACAACAAATATTAAAAAGCAAGAGGGGGAAGAGAATGAAGACGCTACAAGGTCAGAACTGGCTTTTAAGACTCTTGCTTTCCTGTTGTCCCTCCTTAGAGACAGAAAAAAAATGGTGGGGAAGATAAATCAAATGGAAGATTGAGATAGAACAGAAAATCTTCTTTTAATCAGGGCTTTGAGCAACCTGGTCTAGCAGAAGGTGTCCCTGCCCTGGCAGGGGGCTGGAACTGGATGAGCTTTACGGTCCTTTCCAATCCAAACCATTCTGTGGTTCAATGAATCTGCCACTCACCCAAACCTTGCAGAAGTCACCATGTCCTGAATCCAGGAGCCCAGAGGAGGGCTGGACAAATGGTCACAGCACTTTCCAAGCTGCATTAGCAAGGATTAAATAGAAGCAAGATTGGAAGGGATATAGAACTCCTTAAATCTTCTCCCTCAGCTCAAGGGCAAAGAAATCTGCATCCAGGTCAGCTCATTTCATAATCGCTTCCCTCAGAGGGCTTTAACCACCACCTTTGATGCATTTGGTGTTTGCCACAGCCGGACAGGGTGACGCTTGCTCAGAGCTGAATGCCCTTAAATCAGCCCAGCTCTACATATATTTCTCATGAGCCACATACATACTGCTTTTCAGTCCGATTATGCTCCAGGCAGAGCAGCAGTGAGTTCCTGCCCTTTCATTCATCACTCTCAAGTGCTTTTTGCCTGTTTGAACGCGTTTGATCAAGCCTGTTTCTCTGGGTCACAGTTCTTGGTCAGGAGTGCTGGAGAGGCTGCATTTGCCTCTCAGATGAATTTTGTATAACATTCGTGAGGTTAAGCTGGATGTGGCAGCTCTCACCCCTAAGGCCTCCTGCCAACATGTTGGACTAGTTTCCATTGACCTCACACAAGGCATTGGCATGGGTCAACAGAGGTCCCCCACCCTGCTGGCCTTCTGTCCTTTGCTGAGGGAGCAGAGACTGTTTAGGACGTGCCCATAGTGCTCATGCTGGTTTCAGGCTTGCACAGGAAGTGAAAATACTGAATACGTGTCTGGGCAGTGAACTGAACAGCATTAGGATACTAAGACCTCAGGGATCATGCTCCTCCAGATGGAGCTGTCAGGGACAGACAAGTCAGCCTGGCATGAAGCATGCACACTGCCTCTCCTTTACTGTCTGAACACGCAGACTGGAGCAGAGGGTCAATAGCTGCAAGGAGAAACCATTGCCACAGTTACCCCAGAGAGGGGGCTTTAGGCAGGCCCCCAGTGAGAACTGGCTGCTGCCCCTCCTGAAGCACAATGTCTCTCTAGGGGTGAATTTGATTTCAGCTCCAGTTCTGAGCTTGCCTCAAGCTGCCTCCAAAAACCCCAGTGTCTTTTAGACAGGCATGGTGAGTCATACAAACCTGAAGAAAATGCTTCTTCTTTCTCTGTGGAAGGAAAGCACCAAAGCATCCTCTTTTGAATTTAACTGAGGTTCTGGTTGGGGCCTTTTGGGGGACTGTTTTCTTCTTGGGGCTTTTTTAAAATATCTACATTCCAGAAAGCATTCACTAAGGAGTATCAAAGTCTTGTTCTCCCACCACGACTTGCAGCTGAGCCAACAGGAGAGCTGGGCTCCATCTCTGTGGGTCTCAGTGGAAGGAGACAGAATTGTCCACGACTGCTGGGTAAAGGAACAGGTCAGTCTGAGCACAAAGAGCCAGGGTGAACCCGTGCCTCCTGAAGCATTCACACTCCAGGTCATGTGTTTTCTCTGAAAACGTCTAATAAGGAGAAAGTGTTCAAAAGAGCAGATGATTAACTGGCAAATGTCAGTCTGGAGTTTCTCAGACCCCCTGAGAGGACAGATGCTGTTAGACAGACTGACTCCTCACAGGAGACCTTGGGAAAAAGCAGAACGGGATGGGTGCCCAAGCTGAAGTCTTCAGGGAGCAAGAGTCAGCCAAAATGCTGGACAGCATGAGACCAGTCATGTGAACGGAAAACATGAGCAGGAAGGGGTCTAAGGACCTTTCACAGAGGGCTGTGAGCTGAGACACAGAGGTCAGAGCATCCTCAGGGCAACCCCTGCAATCTTCTTTAATAAAACCCAGTTGCTCTATCTGCAGAAAGCAGTGCTAGTCCAATTCTTCTAGTCTTACTGGAAAACCTGGAGAGAACTCACTAGTTGAGGTGAGGATCTCTGCAGCTAAT